ACTCAAGAAACTCTAAAACATATACAAATGCATGGAGTTTGAAAAACATTCTCCTGAATAAACAAATGGGTCATAGAAGAAATAAAAAGAGAAATCAAAAATTGTTACATGAGTCACCTAGAATATTCACATCAGAGTGTGGCTTTGGAGAACCCTGGACTCTGCAGGGGGAGTTAAATGCCAGGGATGCTCCTTAACTCTACAATATTTAATAATGATGCTGATGTTTATTTTGATCATTCAAAATTGAGATGAATATTTTAATTAATTCTCCATATAAGTCCAAATTCCTTCATTTGCCTGAAGATTTCCAAAAACATCCAAAGATATTAAGAAGGTGGTTAACAAGACTGCATTTCAAAGTGTGAGAACAAATTTAAAGACCATAGTGAATACAAACACAGATGAAAGCAATTGGGGATATCTCTTTACTAAACATGTTAGAGCCATTGTCTCTTAATGGCTTGCACAGATATTCCTGGAGCAGTGGTTTCTGATAGTATCTTCTTTGTTTAGCAAATGTTAATGATGGTGGAAAATGCCACCTAACACACCCTTTTTATTTCTTTGCTCAGGAGAGAGATAAATACAGAAAATAAGCAATACATGAAGTAACTGAAAGAAATGAGTTGCAAAGGTAATATATATATATATATGTAGTATAATCTCATTTATGTGAAGTATTCAGAGTCAGCAAATTCATAGTCACAAAATAGATTCATGGTTACTAGGGAGATTGGAGTCTTAGAGGTGATAGCTGAAATGTGTGGAGTTTCAGTGTGATGTGATGAGCAGTTCTAAGGTTGATTATGATTATTGGCATATCCTAAAACATGAAATTCTACAGTTTCATAAATTTCATAATTATAAATTTTATGGTATTTAAATTATCTTTCATTAAGTACATTACTAAATTAGTATATATATGAAAAAATTAAACCAAAGGACAGAAATAGGCAATAAAAATGGATATAATGTACAATTCCATTCTGTCTCAAGACATGCTTGATATTCAAAAATGTGAGTAGAAATAAAGAAAAAGGAACAAATAAAGATATTCTATGCACACAGCAGTCATAAGTAAGGTGGCAATGTTACCCTCAGACAAAGTAACATTAACACAAAAAATGCAGAGTGCACATTTAGCCTGGCAGTTAAAGAAGGTGGTTAAAAAGACTGCATTTCATATAGGAATGCACAGGTTTCAAATCTATGTCTGGCTCCAACTCCATTTTCCTGCAAATACTGATGCTGGGTGACAGCAGACATGACTTAAATAATTTGGTTTATGCCACAAATTTAGTTGACCTAGATTAAGTCCCTGACATCTGTTTGTGCAGGTATTTGGGGCATAAACCAAAAAATGGGATCTCTCTCTCTTCTCTGTCTCTCCCTCTAACAAAAGTAAACAAATAAATAAGAGAATGATATTGGATGATGAGAAGTAGGATAGCACATCAGGAAAATATAGCAAACATAAAATTGATAAATAATTGGCAATTATAAATAAAACATAATTGTTAACAAGCATTGACAAAGCTCCAAAATACACAAAGTGAAAGTTGACAATCTGAGAAATATATAATTAATGAATAATTATTATAATGATTTCTATACCTCCTTTAAGTAATGGATAAAACAACCACAAAGGAAGAAAATATATTTGATCACTATTATAAAAAGTCTGAAAACAAATTATTGTTATATAATTCAACATTGCAACAGAACACAGTTTCATAGGTATACATAGACTGCTCTCTGGAATTGACCTAGGTCATAAATTTTTAAAAGAAAAATCTTCAATAAATTTCAAAGGGATAAATTGTCTAAAGTATTTCCCTGGTCACTACAGAATATAGTTAGAGACAAATAACAATACAAGTACTGAAATGTCTGTAAATATGTAGAAAGCAAGAAATAAGCTTTGTTTAAAAATATTTTATTTCTCTCTGAGCTGCAAAAAAAACAGTTTCTGCAAAAATGAATACTCAAGGGTTTTTATATATGATGTATTTTAATTATCTTCTGTAATCTTTTGTTATGGAAGCTAAAATTTCAACAAACTACAAATATAAGTACAGAAACATTTTCTTGCAATATGACAGGTATACCAGAAGATGCTCAATATCACTAATACATCAGGTAAATGCAAATCAAATACACAGTTAGATTACTCCTTGTTCCTGTTACAGTGGCTATTGTCAAAGGTATAGGAGACAACAGGTGTAGTCAGGGATATGGAGGAGTAGGAACCCATGTACACTATTTGTGAAAATGTACATTACTACAGTCACTATGAAAAACAATATGAATGTTCCTCAAAAAGTAAAAAAAAAACAGCCATGTGACTCAGCAATTATACATTTGCAAATGAAATCGGTCATCACCTGATAGTGATATCTGTGTCCCATGTTTACTGTAGCATTTTGACAATAGTCAAGGAATGAAAACACACTAAGTGTCCTTCATTGGATGAAAGATGAAAAATGTCACAAATAAAGAAATGGATGAACAAATATATAATTTAATACTCTTCAAAGAGAACCCATTCCCTGTTTTACTCTCCAAATGCTTACAATATGTATGTGCTTATATGTCCTTGGGTTGACATGAAATAAAAATGTAGTAACAATCTCTAATTCAGTTGGCTTTACTGACCATCCTCTCAAATACTATGTTTTAATTTCCAGTCACCTGAATCTATTGTAGCAGTTCAGGTCCCAGACAAAATCCAGATCATAGGTGTCACACAGCAGGCAGGCTCACCGCGCGGTCCTCAGCGCCATCTTGTTGTTTACAACATTCTCAACTCCCCTGGAAAGTCCCAACCGTGGGAAAGCATTGCCCTAACCGAAACTAGCAACATCCGCCTTGTGATAAAGACAAAGGAACAGCTATCAGACCGACCTTGACGTGGGGGCTCCATGGCTGTGCATCCCATGGAGCCCCACAACTATTTTATTCCTTTTAGTGTTTTTGTTCTACTTAATACCATTGGTTGAATTCTTTAATTAACACAGAATTATTCTTAGGTGTAAAAACCCAACTGAAAATTGATCCCTGTTAAAAATAAGAGTGGGGATAAGAGAGGGAGGAGATGTGCAGTTCAGCACATGCTCCTCAGACTTACACCTAATTAGAGCTAGAAACGTGCAATGGGACTCCAAATCCAATTAAATTGGCAGTTACCTTACTAGTTAAAGTGATCAGTTTAAGTTCATAACTGATCATAAAGATAAGGTTAAGTGTCAAAGGGTTCACATAAATAAAACCAGTGTTTGCTAATAATAATTTACAGAACAAAAACAGAGGGAATGATCCATCATGGGAAGCTAAATACACAGCAGACTCAAAGAATGACATTTCCCCTAAACAGCACTCTAGCCTCAGAATCAGCCCTTAAGGCATTCAGATCTGAAATCTGGTCATTTGCAACAAAATGGAGGAATCTGGAAAACATCATGCTGAGTGAAATAAGCCCATGGGGAAAAAAAAAAAAAAAGCCCATGAAAGTATCTCAGGCATGGAAAGCCAAGAAACTCTGGCAAAAAATAACCTAAATGAAAGATCTCTGTGAGTGAGATCTTGGTGGAAAGAAGGGGCCATCAAAGAAGGAGGTACCTTTCTTTGAAGGGAGGAGAGAAATTCCACTTTGATTATGGCCTTGTCTAAATGAGTTTGGAGTTTGTGAATTCAAGAAGCTTCCATAGCCTTGGCAGCTCATGACAAGAGCCTCAGGTGATTACTGATGTCATAAATAAGAGTGTCAATTGTTAAGTCAACAATCAACAATCATTGTGCACTTGCTCCCCATGTAGGACCTCTGTCCTTAATGTGTTGTACTATGAGAATTAACAGTAAAACTAATCTTCAAACAGTAGTTTATACTTTGTGTGTCTGTGTGGGTGTAAACTGTTGAAATCTTTACTCAGTATAGAGTTGATCTTCTGTATATAAAGATAATTAAAAATGAATCTTTTTTTCTTTTCTTTTTTTTTTTTTGACAGGCAGAGTTAGACAGTGAGAGAGAGAGAGAGAGACAGAGTGAAAGGTCTTCCTTTTCCATTGGTTCACCCCCCAGTGGCCACTGCAGCCAGTGCACTGTGGCCAGCGCACCTTGCTGATCCAAAGCCAGGAGCCAGGTGCTTATCCTGGTCTCCACAGGAGTGCAGGGTCCAAGGACTTGGGCCATCCTCCACTGCACTCCTGGGCCACAGCAGAGAGCTAGACTGGAAGAGGAGCGACAGGGACAGAATCCAGCACCCCAACCGGGACTAGAACCTGGGGTGCCGGCTCCACAGGCCAAGGATTAGCCTATTGAGTCATGGTGACGGCCTAAAAGTGAATCTTAAAGAAGAATGGGGTGGGAGAGGCAGTAGGAAATGGGGTGGTTTGTAGGTGGTTATTGGGGGAAGAACTGCTATAATCCAACAGTTGTACTTTTGAAATATATATTTATTAAAGAAAAGTGTTCTTTTAAAAATTATAATATAAAATAAAATAGCATTAAATAAATGAAAAAAAGATACGAGCAAAAAAAGCATAGCATACTCCAGAAAAGTGGGCTTGTAGGTATTGAATGAAATATATGTATTGCTATATTTTTTGAAGATTTCTATTTACTTATTTGAAAGTCAGAGTTACACCGATAGAGAAGGAGAGGCAGAAAAACAGAGAGAGAAAGGTTTTCCATCCACTGGTTCACTCCCTAACTGGTTGCAATGACCAGAGCTACACCCATCCAAAGCCAGGAACCAGGAGCTTCTTCCAATCATATTCATCCAATCATATTTATCAGGTACCAATTCATTTTACAAAATCAAAGAAATACCCAAACACAGAGATGTATATTGTTGACTTTTTCTGAAATATTTATTTTTGAGTGCCAAGATAAATAATTTATTGTAGAGAAAAGAAAAAAATCTCATTCAAAACATAGATGTCTATACAACTTTACTATTGTCGCGTCCCTCGGCCAGCAAGGAAGACACAACCCGAACTCTTCTTCAAGCAGTTTATTCAGGAACCTTGAACAAGCTTCTTCCACCTCCTTCCCTCTCCCATCCCTCTTATAGCTATCAGCACACCAATCAAAAGCAGCCAAGTGGCAAGGATTGATTGGTACAGCAATGCGGAAGCCAGAAGGGAGCTCAGCCATCTCCTTATTAGGAGTTGTTTGTTTCTTGCCAGTCCTTCCGGGAGAAAGGAGCCAGCGCCATCTTTAGGGTGCGGTGCAATGGCTCCCCACAGTTCCCCCTTTTTGTTTTAGAACCAGGCATCTAAGGATTACAGGAGTAGGTAGGGGTCTGTCCCCCACTGCCAGGCATCCACCTGGAACAGCATCCTTTTTGCAGGGGTGGGATCTGGGATGCCAACCCACATGCAGACAGACTTGCCTTCCAGAGAACGTAATGGCTCGTTCCCTCTGCAGTGCTTTGCCTCGCACCCTGCACCCATGCCTAGCATTCAAGGAAGGCCAGCCATACTTGTGGTGATTGTCCAGCCTCAAGGGCATAAAAGGCTTGAGCTATCATGGCCAATTCCCACCGATGAGCTTTCCTCATCCTGCACAAACACCACAGGCAAAATAACACAACAAGTAACAGCAACCCCGTCAAAGCTCCAAGTCCCGCCCACTCCTTCAGGCTGGAGATGGCTGTGCGGATCCAGGATGACAATCCAGATGCGAAGGAGACATCCACACGCATGGAGTTGATGGTGACCACGGCAAGGCGCAGTTGCTTCAAGGTGTAGTCAAATTCCGCGGACCAATTCTGCAAGAGCATCTGAGACAACTGTTTAGAGTAGTTTGCTGCCTGAGTCATGTTATCATACTGAACAGAGGTCACACACAACCCTGAAAATTTCCACTCACATCCTAGCTGAGCAAGCTGCCAGAGAGTATCCACCTGCTCCTGTACCAAATCCACACATTGATTAACAATCATCAAGCCTCCCTTTATATGTGCATTTAAAGATGTCTGAGTATCCAAAGCAGCAGCCACAGAGGCTGTTAAATTATTCAGGGTATTAGCAGCTTGAACTGTCCCTGTGAGCGCTATAGCATCTGTTGTAGCGCCCACAGCTGCAATGGAAATGGCGGTTATAATGGCTGCAGTAACTCCAAAATCTCTCCTGGTCCTAAATAAAGCCATGCTATTGGGTGCTTCAACAGGAATTGGAATGTACCTGGGAAGTCTCATAAGCACAGCCAAAGAAGAAGTGGTTGCATTCCAGCAAAAGGTATAATTGCATGAATTATTTGTACACTCTAATATGTCCAATTGTATCCTGCAAACATTTCATTAAAAAATGTACTTATCCGGGGAGAAAATGTAAAGTATCCTTTCTTTGCCCAAATGTTATTGGGCCCTTGACATCCCGTCCACAGCAAGATACCATCCCCACGATTGCCATAGCAATGAGGGGCCCATCGTGCCTGAGAAGGAATGGTAGACCCATTGTCCTTCTTCTCCATGGCAGGCCACCATCCTGATATCCAGGAAGCATTGGCCAATCCAAGGGTTGTTGGAAAATCTACCCAGGCTGCAGATTGATTATACAATTTTATGCAAGAGCTATTTTCATAAGCAATATTATTACTAATCAAAAAACATAAACTGCCTTCTAAGGTGTAATTTCCTGCAGGTGCATATTGAGAATCTGTATCCATGGGCAAGTAAGGGACTCCCAAGGTAAGATTGGTGACAAAAAAGCGAGGGAACACTTGAGCGTTATACATCACGGGCATCGGCTTTGGGAATACTGATAGAATCCCCCATCTCTGCTCCGCCAGTGTCCGTTGCATTTGAGGCAGAAGTATCAGAAGCAACGGCAGGATTCTCCTCATGGCAGACCCGCCTGACCGCTCGCTCCGGAACCCACACCGGGTCATGTTGATCCTGTGGAAAAACACAAACAGCACCTCGTGCCCATGCCAGCACGGTATCAGGGCCACACCACTGGCCCGTCAAGAGATCTTTCCATTTTACCAACCCTCTACTTGGGTTTCCTTGTTGCTGATGCCTGTCCGTGGCTGAGTGCGCATACACATCCAAATTTAAAAAATTAATTGTAAATAAGACTAAGGCAATTCTCTCTCTCAGGGTGCGGCTATAGCCAACTCCCCCTTTTTGTTTTAAAAGATATTATGCCCTGGCCCTGAGGATTGTATGGCAATCCATGGACAAGTTGAACCTCCATTTTTTGGCAAAAGGTGGTAAAGGTTTGAGATGTATAGGCCGGGCCATTATCAGTTTTTAGCACCTGGGGTTTCCCCCAGGCAGCCCATGCATCCAGACAATGAGCAATCACCTTGGCGTGTAGATTCTCCACTGAAAGGGGAGGCATACAGAATGCCTGAGCACATGTCCACTGAGACATGAACATATTTCAATTTCCCAAATTCCGATACATGGGTCACATCCATCTGCCATACTCTCCCAGGCAGTAAACCTCTAGGGTTTACGCCAACACTAGGTTGAGCATGAGTAACAGCACAGTCAGCGCAATCAAGTACAATATGTCTGGCATCTGCGTGGGAAAGATGAAATTTCTGCTGCAAAGCACGTGCGTTGACATGAAAAGATTGATGGAAAGCTTTAGCAGCCTCTGCAGAAGTAGTAAAAAAGATGAATTCCTGTCTAGTACACAGGTCTACTCGTGCATTGCCTTCACATAAGGGACCAGGCATGCCTGTGGGCTCTAATGTGCTGAGTGAAAAAGGGATTTTTCGGTGACCAAAGCAACTGCTGGGCTATTTGCAATAGGGATGCAATTGGGCTAGAAGGTTTAATCGGTCCTGTGGTTTCCAATATCTTTAATGCGTTCACCACATATAAGGAATCTGACAACAAATTAAAGGCAAAAGAGCACTGCTTAAGGACCTCAATAACTATTTTTAATTCCACAACTTGAGGTGAGCCTGGCTGAAACTGATGAAATACCGGGTCATTACCCTCTAGCATATAAACCCCACAGCCTGTTTTTGACTCATCCGTAAATATCTTTAGAGCACCTAGTAATGGCTCAGCGGCTATAATTTTTGGAAATACTACCGGATGTTCTTTAAAAAATTGTAACAATGGACTTTTTGGTAAATGATTGTCTATAGAGCTTGGGAACCCGCAGCAAAGCACTGCCCAATCATCTAAAAGAGCACATAGGACGTTGACTTGTTTGGCATCATAAGGAACAATCACTTCACACGGCAATTTTCCAAAATATTGTAAACATTGTTGCAAACCTTCCAGTGCTAGCTTTGCCACCGCTGCCGGATAATACTCAGTAGACTTGGCTGGAGAGCTCCTTGGATGTATCCACAAAAGCGGACCTTCCTGCCATACTAGCCCTGTAGGTTGGTTAAGGGTTGGGAGAATGCATAATGACAATGGCAGATTTTCATTCATTCTGCATAAGAATGCCTCCTGTAATTTCTTTTCTACCTTCTCTAGGGCCTCCCTGGCCTCCGGAGTTAAGCACCACGGTGAGTCCAACGCCGAATCACCGCGCAAAATGACATAAAGTGGCTTAAGTTCATAATTGGGAAGATTCAAATAACCCCTAACCCAATTTATATCTCCTAATAATCTCTGAAAATCATTTAAAGTCTTTAAACTATCTTTGCGCAATTCCACCTTTTGAGGAACAATTTGAGTACTAGTTATGCGGGATCCCTAATAAGCTGCAATGCTTCCTTTTTGAACCTTTTCAGGGGCAATAAATAACTTCTTACTTTCTAACAACTGAATCAAATATGCAAAGCCATCATCTAATACGAATTCGTCTTTTGCTGCTAAGAGGATGTCATCCATGTAATGGATGCATTTTAAGGAAGAAAATCTCTTACGTAAAGGCTCAATCGCTTGACTCACGAATAGCTGACACATCGTGGGGCTGTTAGCCATGCCCTGCGGAAGCACAACCCATTCATACCTCTGGTCAGGCTGCTCATGATTGCATGCCGGCAAGGTAAAGGCAAACCTTTCACAATCCTTTGTATGTAGGGGTATGGAGAAGAAGCAGTCTTTAATATCTATTATTATTATGGGCCATCCCTATGGAAGTGTAGATAGAAGAGGCAGCCCACGTTGCACAGGCCCCATGACCTGCATCTGCATATTAATAGCTCTCAAGTCATGTAGCAACCACCACTTCCCTGATTTCTTTTTTATTACAAAAATAGGAGTATTCCAAGGCGATACAGAGGGTCTAATGTGTCCTAAATTCAATTGTTCTTGAACCAATTGCTGTGCAGCGACCAATTTGTCTGAGGACAGAGGCCACTGAGGAACCCATACTGGGTCCTCATGCTTCCAAGTAATGGGAATACCTTCCTCAGTGGCTCCTATGAAAAACCCAGCCCTTGGCGAGGAGGCCTCTTTACTACTTCAATGGGCTCATTTCTTCCTTGTACGAATTTTCCTATCCCATAATTCGGATGGTGTCCCATATCCTTCATCAATTTTTGAGAAACACAGGAGTATTCATTACTTAATTTATAGTTCATGTCTTTCAAAAGGTCTCGGCCCCACAAAGAGATAGGTAAATCCAAAACATAAGGTTGCACCGTGCCTGAATGCCCCTCTGCATCCTCCCAGTGCAGCATTACTGTGCTCATCTCAGGAGTTTCTGAATATCCCAGTCCCCAAAGGGATTGTGAGGATGCCTGCTTAGGCCACTTTGGAGGCCAATCCTTGGAGGCGATGATACTACGGTCTGCACCTGTGTCTAGTAGGCCAAGAATGTCCTTTCCATTTATTTTTATCTTTAAGGTTGGTCTCTGGTCTAGTTCTAAAGACAAGAAGGTACAATCTACGCCTGTGGACCCAAAGCCTTCACTTCCTCGTTGTTTCTTTGATGCACTGAACTGCAAATGCTTGCTAGGAAGGATTACAAGTTGTGCAATCCTGTCTCCTGGATTAATAGCTGTTATACCTCTAGGGGACTCAACCATGATTTTCACCATGCCAGTATAATCCGAATCTATGACTCCTGGGTGAATTATGGGACCTTTTAAGGTAGAGGATGAACGTCCCAACAACAATTCCACTGTCCCTTCCTCTAGGGGTCCCTGAAAGTCTGACTCAATAGCTTGCACTCCCATTTTTGGTGTCAGTATGAGTCTGGCGGTGGCACAGAGGTCCAGGCCTGCGGAGCCTGCAGTGGCTCTCTGCGGTCTCTGGGATGTCTGAAGCTGGGCCACTGACTTTGCCTCCCCTGCTGCTGGTCCTGATGGGGGCCCTGATGCTGACTCTCGAATGCCCCATATATTTGCGGTCCCTGGGGACGAGGGCCCCACTGCCCGTTTTTTGGACGCGCCCCACCATTGCCAGAAGCAAGGACGTTGCCATCAATGTCCTTCACCGAGCGGCATTCGTTGGCCCAGTGCTTTCCCTTCCTGCATTTTGGACAAATTCCTGGTCCTTCCTGTCTTTGTTCTTTGCCTCTTCCCCTTTGTAGACATTGTCGCTTCATATGTCCCATTTTTCCACAACTGAAACATGCTCCAGCATTCCCTGATCCCCTATTGCCCTTCGTGATTTGAAGGACTGCTGCAACGAGGCCAGTGTTGGATAGCGGCCCTCCTATTTCCCTGCATTGTTTTATCCATACCTGAAGCCCTTTGCTCTTCCATGGTGTTATAGCGGTTCTGCATTCCTTAGCGCACTGCTCGAAAACCAACTGTTCTATCAGCGGCATGGCGCGATCTGGATCTCCAAAAATCCTACCCGCAGCTTCCGCCATGCACGCTAAAAAGTCTGAAAATGGCTCGGTGGGTCCCTGTGTAATCTTTGTCAAATTCCCACCTACCTCTCCTCTGTTGGGTATAGACTTCCAAGCCTTGATGGCTATCTTGTTAACTTGTTCATACACTGCACGTGGGTAACCTGTCTGCTGGTTAGCGAATCTCCCTATGCCTAGCAGCATATCTCTGTCCCAATGCGGATTCCCTGCCACTGCATTTTCTGCCGCTTGTTCATTGGCAAAGTCAATCAGGAAAGCTCTGAAGTCTAAGTATTGTCCTGGTGACAATGCAGCATGAGCCAACCCGCTCCAGTCATTTGGAGTCATGTAGTATCTTTGAAGATTTTCTACTTGAGCCAGTGTGAAAGAGCCGCTGATGCCATAGGCCCTTACTGACTCCGCCACTGATTTGATTATCTTTATGTAGAGGGGTTCCTTGTACCTCTGCCCTTGTGGATCTTGGAAGACAGGATAGGCACTTAACAACTCTGCACCAACCTGTTTCCAGACTCCCTGACAGAAAGTCCGCCCTCTTCCTTGCACGGATAGAGGCTCATACTGAGGAGGAGAGGCTTCAGGCTCCTCCCCTAAGTTCCCCTGGAAAGTACCATGCTTAAGTTCCTTTTTTCCTTTTAGTTGCAACTTCCTCATTTGCCGATTCAATTCCCGTACTTGCTTTATATCAGACTCTTTGTTATCGCCACACTCTTCAGACTCACTGCTGCTTTCTGAGCTACTTTCTGCACTAGTACTACTTACTAAGGAGGGGCTGCACAACTCGGAAAGATCGGGATACAGTTTTTTCCTAGTTCTTTTCTGACTCTTCTTCAAAGTTTTCCCCTTTTCACTGGCAGCTCTCTTGGAGTGCTCTTCCTGAAGCTCCTCCAAGGCAGCTTGACCGCTCAGAATAGCTTCACTACACTGCTCTTCCTCGAGGCATGATTGCACTAACTTCCATATTGGTCTCACTCCCCCTTCAAGATTACCCTGTTCAAATGCAAAATCCAAATCCCTGCCTAGTTTGTCCCATGAAGGGATAGTAAGGCTTCCCGAAACCCCATACCAGAGTGCAATGGTATCACAGTTACGTAAAAACCTATGCAACATACTAGGCTTAAGTTTCAAACCATTTTCTCGAAGCAGCGCATTCAGCGCCAGAAAAATTTGATGGGACTGTGAATTACCCATCGTCAAAAATTGCGCTCTTTCCCTGGCCACGGGTCAGAGCTCCTTCTGCTTTTGTCGCAGAACTTCCTCTGCTTTAATTGCAGAACTACCCTCCCGCTATTGTCGCAGGACTGCCCGCTTTTATCGTGGATCCCCACCTTATTTTCCTGGGGGACTTACCAGCGCTGCCCTGACTGCAGGAAGTTCTGAGTTCGCGTTCGAGATGGTCCCCGTACGGGCCACCAGTTGTCGCGTCCCTCGACCAGCAAGGAAGACACAACCCGAACTCTTCTTCAAGCAGTTTATTCAGGAACCTTGAACAAGCTTCTTCTTCCACCTCCTTCCCTCTCCCAGCCCTCTTATAGCCATCAGCACACCAATCAAAAGCAGCCAAGTGGCAAGGATTGATTGGTACAGCAATGCAGAAGCCAGAAGGGAGCTCAGCCATCTCCTTATTAGGAGTTGTTTGTTTCTTGCCAGTCCTTCCGGGAGAAAGGAGCCGGCGCCATCTTTAGGGCGCGGTGCAATGGCTCCCCACATACTATAATCAATATACACAAACTATAAATTTATATCAATTCATAATTTACCAAATAAAAGATGACTAACAAAGTACAGAGAGTAGATGACAGTTTGCAGAAAAGATTTTTACCTAATTAAGGACAAGGAATGTGCACCATTGCTCCATTTTCTTTTAAAGATTTATTTACTGGCCAGTGCCATGGCTCAATAGGCTAATCCTCTGCCTTGCAGCACCAGCACACCGGGTTCTAGTCCTGGTCGGGGTGCTGGATTCTATCCCGGTTGCCCCTCTTCCAGGCCAGCTCTCTGCTATGGCCCGGGAGTGCAGTGGAGGATGGCCCAGGTCCTTGGGCCCTGCACCCCATGGGAGACCAGGAGAAGCATCTGGCTCCTGGCTTCAGATCAGTGTGGTGCCGGCCGCGGCGGCCATTGGAGGGTGAACCAACGGCAAAAGGAAGACCTTTCTCTCTGTCTCTCTCTCTCACTCTCCACTCTGCCTGTCAAAAAAAAAAAAGATTTATTTATTTAGGCCAGCGCCGTGGCTCAATAGGCTAATCCTCCGCCTGTGACACCAGCACACTGGGTTCCAGTCCCACTCGGGGCACTGGATTCTGTCCCAGTTGCCCCTCTTCCAGGCCAGCTCTCTGCTGTGGCCAGGGAGGGCAGTGGAGGATGGCCCAAGTGCTTGGGCTCTGCACCTCATGGGAGACCAGGAGAAGCACCTGGCTCCTGCCATCAGATCAGCGCGGTGTGCCGGCCACAGCATGCCAGCTGCGGCGGCCATTGGAGGGTGAACCAATGACAAAGGAAGACCTTTCTCTCTGTCTCTCTCTCTCACTGTCCACTCTGTCAAATAAAAAAAGAGATTTATTTATTTTAGTTGAAAGTCAAAGTTAAACAATGAGAGGAGAGGCAGACAAAGAGAGAGAGAGAGAGAGGGAAAGGTCATCCACCCACTTGTTCACTCCCCAGGTGACTACAATGGCTGGAGCTGGCAGATCCAAAGCCAGGAGCCAGGAGCTTCTTCCTGGTTTCCCATGTGGATGCAGGGGCCCAAGGACTCAGGCTATCTTCTACTGCTTTTCCTGCAGGCAGTGGCTTTACCTGCTATACCACAGCACCAGCACAATTGCTCCATTTTCTAAGAACAGGTTGTGTACTCAGTCTTGGAAAACCACAAGCTAGCAAATGTACCGAGAGATGGCTGGTGCCTGGTGTATTTTCAAGGGTCTTTATTTAAGCCTGCTGCCATGGCGTATTCTAATCACTTGCTACTTTCAGGGCCAAAAATCATCTGACAGGACCTGTCCACTTCCTCAGGTCATGCTTGCCAGTTTGTTCTTCTGTACATTTGTACATATTTAAGTGATAGATAAAAGTATTTTCATAAAATTTACAGTACTATGATTTTTGACAAAAATTTTTAAGTGTTACTGAGAATTTCTCTGCAAGTTTTACTGCAGAGAAATGTTCTTTGAAATACCCTCAATGGAAGGAGCCGATGTAAAGTTTTAGTTACAATATCTAGGAGAAATTAAACCATCATAGGATCTCACTCCCTAGCAAATAAAGTGATCATTTACTTGTAATTAAAGGCTATTAAATCATTAAAATGTACTGTCCAAACTATGGAACTGTCACTTGAAAATTATTTAACCACTCTATTCTGTGTAATTCTTCACAGCTGTGACATGGTTTAAATTCCATAATGCATTCTCTATGGGAGTCTGCCCAAAGCAAAAATCAAATTTGTCCACCCATTACAAGATGATCCACACATAGAATATTTCCTAACCTGATGGTTTTCTTGTTGTAGTTTTTGAAAGGTCATGTTTTCCCCAGGAGAATTCCTCTCTAAAGTTGGTTGTGCTTTTCAACCACTTGCATGTCTACAATTTACACGTTGATGCTGTTTTGAGTGCTGCCTCCTGCTGGTGAGGCTTGGTATAGCACGCAATGTAGTCTTCGTCTTGGATTCTGTTGCACACTTGGTAGGGGTCAACTCAGAGTAGGAATTCTTTGAGCAAGGAGAAGCTTGCACAGCTCTGGACTGTTGAGTGTATCAGCACTAAAGGATCCAGTTTGTGGTTCATGCAAATATGATGGTAATCCGATCCCTTCCATGACTTTTCTGGGAGCCAGCTGAGTGTGCTAGCAGTTCCTGCAGGCTCTGGATAAAGGTCTGATGCTGTCCCCAGCTCGTGAACCCCTTAATGTGGAGGAATTTGAAGATGATTGACTGTGGCGACCATCTTGCCCATCATGGGGGATGCTGGGAGAGGCTGGGACTTGGTGATGTGGCTCAACTCAGTGCCAGACACCCTGGGTTCCCTTCACAGTTCAGAGGACTGTGAGGGACTGAGGGGCTGGGAGCTACTTTCCCACTCCCTTTTGAGGTAAGAGGTGGCAGGAGAGAGGAAGAGATGAGCGATGTGGTCCAAACACATCACAGGGACCCCACAGGCCATCCCTGTCTCCAGCTCTGCAACCTCCAAATCCTAGCTGTGTTTCCAGCCCAGAGGAGGTGAGGTTCAATCTGTTTATTGAAAGACATCTTCACAAGTGCAGAGACCATTCAATATTCACATAATGATATAAAATTTTCTTGAGACATTTGATGGAGACATTTTCATTTTAAGGATACTTGATCTCCTTTATATTTTAAGTATTTCTGAAGGGAAGCAAGAAAATAAGTGGTCTATATAATTTCATTCTCATATAAGGGCTTTGAAATGACAATGAATTTAAAACAAAAAATTAATGAGTTAAAGTATTGATTTTTGAATGTTAATAAGTGATAACAGAATGTCTAGTTGTTTAGAAACATAAAATGTAAGTGTTATGTTGTAACCACCTGTGCTGAATTACCTCCATCTGTCCAGCTGAACCATTTAAAATATTGCATGACTGCTAAGCGTTAGTGCATTCCCAATACACAGCTGACAGAAATTCTAACTCTCAAGTATATTGCTTTGAAGTTTGCATTTGGCTATAAGACCAAACAAATCATATTTTTCACATTTATTATTAAGGTTACTACATGGTAAGGTAATACTATTTGAAGAAGTATATTAGTAAGTTATTAACAAGGTTTATAAATGGTTGAAATATAGATATGTTGAGAATGAAGAAATTACTACTTTGTACTTTAAAAAATATAATTTAAATACAGGTAAATTGTGAATCTTAGAAAAATATTTTAAAGTATAATACATCATGATGAGAATCCATTGTTAATCCAATAGCAACATCCTTTGTAGATGTTTTCCATACATAGTCAGACTTTTTATATAACTGGGACTTTTTTAAGTGAAACACTTTAACTTTTGGCACAGTGTCTGTCAAGAAATTGTGTTAAAAGCTATAAATGTCACATAATATCTTAATTATAGGATTAAATTTATAATTAGAATAGTTTGAAATTATGTTAATGCATTATTAATTGTAGTAAAAATACTCTAGTTAAAGTATCTTGGAATATTTATGATTAGATACATCTTTATTTTATGATATAATTTGTACCTAATTTTATGATTTGCTTGAAAAATTACATTATTTCCAAGTTATGCAACCATCTCTATATGCCTACATGTATATAATATTCAGAGAACATGCTAAATTACAAGGCTTTATCAATCTGTAATTCATAGCTATTGTGATTCATATTTAGTTTCATTGAGAGACATGCAAATTTCCACAGGAAAGCTCAAGATTGAATAACTTCCAATGATCACAATTTTTTTTATGTTTTTCTGAGTATGTACACTTGACTTCCAGTTTCCTTACAATTCTTTTATTTCTCCTCCTAATCCAGTTTTAATAAGAAAAATCCAGGAACATTTCTAGTTCAGTCAGAGTTCTAAGTGTACCATTCAAATGAAAATGTTGATATAAATATGCAACAACGTTATTTTGGTAAAATGTGGATTTACCTTAAATTATCAGAATAAAGTCAAGGCTTAAGGAAAAGTACTATGTACTTGCTTATGAACATTATGTTAAGGAATAGATACATGGAAATGGCATACAAGCATTTATGTTTATAACAGATGGTAACCATTCATGTTGCTGAATTTAACACAAGCTAATCTATTCTTAATTAAAAATATTTGAGCTAGACATTCTATTTTTTAAAAAGTTATTTATTTATTTGAAAGTCAGTTACAGAGAGAGAGGAGAGGCAGAGAGAATGAGAGCAAGAAGTGTTCCATCTGCTGGTTCACTCCCCAGATAGCTCCTCCGGGAGCTGCACCGATATGAAGCCAGGAGCCGGGAGCTTCTTCTAGGTCTCCCTTGTGGGTGCAAGGGCCCAAGGACTTGAGCCATCTCCCACTGCCTTCCCAGGCCATAGCAGAAAGCTGGATCGAAAGTGGAGCAGCTGGGACTTGAATTGGTGCTCATATGGGATGCTGACACTTCAGTCCTGGGTGTTAGCCCACTGAACCACAGTGCTGGCCTGAGCTAGACAGTCTAACATGCCATTATTTAGATAGGGTAATGGTAATATTACAACAATCAGAATTGCAAGTAATATGTGCAGAACAAAAATTCATGGAAACTGACAAATCTGAATAACTGAAAGATAATTGTAAGGCATGGAAATATTTGTTCTCTTTGTTTATCCTTATATAAGTAGTAAGGTTAACCTTCTGGAAATGCTTTCATTGGTTACCCTTAAAATGCTCATCAAACTCTGGAAATTGTAGGCATAATACATTGAAAATTTGCCAAAGTATAGTTCTTATAAGTGATATCAATAGCACATAACATACTTTAAAAATCTTTTAGTAAATCAATATATATGAGCTTAACTTTAAGTGCCCTTCCTATTTAAATGTCAAAGTTCTGGGATTAAAAATCAACATCTCACCAAGAAGTAATAATTCTGAAACTTTATGCTATCC